AAACACCTAGTCATTCTTAGCAGTTGAATCTTTTTTTTTTTTCCTTTGAGACAGCGTCTCACTCTGTTGCCCAGTCTAGAGTACAGTGGTGTCATCATAGGTCACTGCATCCTCAAACTCCTGGGCTCAAATGATCCTCCTGCCTCAGCCTCCTAAGTGGTTAGGCCTATGAGAGCATACCACCACATCCAGCTAATCCAGCTAATTTTTCTATTTTTTATAGTGATGAAAGGATGGAGGTCTCACTATGTTGCCCAGACTGGTCTCGAACTTCTGGGCTCAAGCAATCCTCCTACTGTGGCCTCCCACAGTGCTGGGATTACAGGCTTGAGCCATCGTGCCTGGCCTGAATTCTTAGTCTTATTAGTGCTCTGGTCATGGAACATAGGTATTGAGTGGTCAGCCCTGACCCTGGTTCCTCCATTAGCCCTGTGATCTTCAGCACATGTGACTTTGCAGAACATATGGTTGTTGGGGAACTCATGTATCATCCTACAGCAGACAAGCCTATACTTAGCTCTGGGGAATTACATTTTTGGAGGGCTGAGAGTTTCATTGTATATCTTATTTCCTTTGGTATTGTCAAGGTGATACTAGGACCTAATCTCCAACCTATAGTGTAATGACAGAACGCTCTAACTCGGTGTTTGCCAAACTTACTTGAGGGTATTATAAAAAACAATCATAATGTATTAACACAATTCTGATGGAAACCACGAGGTATATTGTACACCTGGATTACAGTGGATGGCAAAGATAAAACTGTCTCAAAGATGAAAGAATTGCTGTTGGAAGAAATTATCATGATTTTACTCATGTTACAGATATTTACTGAAACATGACGCAAGGTACAGGCTGGGTGTCATGGCTCACACCTGTAATCCCAGCACTTTGGGAGGCCAAGCCAGGTGCATTGGATCACTTGAGGCCAGGAGTTAGAGACCAGCCTGAGCAACATCTCGAGACCTAGTCTCTATTAAAAAAAGGAAAAGAAAAGAAAATTAGCCAACTGTAGTGGTGTGCACCTGTAGTCCTAGCTACTGGGGAGGCTGAAGCAGGAGGTTCTCCTGATCCCAGGAGTTCGAGGCTGCAGTGACCTATGGTCGGGCCTCTTTATTCCAGTGTGGGCAACAGAGCAAGACCCTTTCTGTTAAAAAAAAAAAAAAAAGACAAAGTACATAATACAGACTATCAGTCATCACATTGAAGACACACAGAAGCACAAAAATTAATTAATAATCTGCTGCCCATGTGGGCCATATCCAGAGCATACTTTCTATATGTCCAGGCACCATGCAATCTCTCTCAGGGGGCTTTCTGGCATCATGTGGCCTATGCAGCTATACTTGGCTCCATGCTTAGAAGGTTTTTAAGCTTGGTTTAATGATTTTCTGTTGCCATCTTGAAATTTGAACAACCAGTGCTGTTTTTTTTTTTTTTTTGAGACAGAGTCTTGCTCTGTTGCCCAGGCTAGAGTGCCGTGGCCTCATCATAGCTCACAGCAAATTCCTGGGCTCAAGTGATCCTTCTGCCTCAGCCTCCTGTGTAGCTGGACTACAGGCTTGGGCCACCATGCCCAGCTAATTTTTTCTATTTTTAATAGAGATGGGGGTCTCTGCTCTTGCTCAGGCTGGTCTCCAACTCCTTGACCTCAAGCAATCCTTCTGCTTTGGCCTCCCACCCAATTTTCAAAAAAAGGGCAAAGGACTTGAATAAACACTTCTTTACAGAAGATATACAAATTGCCAACAAGCAAATAAAAAAAAAAACATCACTAATCATTAGGGAAATGCAAATCAAAACCACAATGGGATGCCATTTCAAACTCCGTAGGATGGCTACTATAAACAAAAACAAAAATAGAAAATAACAAGTGCTGGCTAGAGTGTGGAGAAATTGAAACCCTTATGTATTGCTGGTGGGAATGTAAAATGATGCAACTGCTAAGGGTAATAGTATGAAAGATCCCCCTTTCCCTAAAACAGAATTATCATACAATTCAGCAATTCTAATTCTGGGTATGTAGAATTGAAAGCAGGGACTCAAACAGATATTTGCACACCCATGTTCATAGCAGCATTATTCACAATAGCCAAGACGTAGAAGTAACTCAAGTATCCACTAACAGATGAATGGCTAAACAAAATGTGGTGTATATACATACGATAGAATATTATTTAGTCTTTAAAAGAAAGGAAATTCTGGCCGGGCGCGGTGGCTCACGCCTGTAATCCTAGCTCTCTGGGAGGCTGAGGCGGGCGGATTGCTCGAGGTCAGGAGTTCGAAACCAGCCTGAGCAAGAGTGAGACCCCGTCTCTACTATAAATAGAAAGAAATTAATTGGCCAACTAATATATATAGAAAAAATTAGCCGGGCATGGTGGCAAATGCCTGTAGTCCCAGCTACTTGGGAGGCTGAGGCAGGAGGATTGCTTGAGCCCAGGAGTTTGAGGTTGCTGTGAGCTAGGCTGACGCCACAGCACTCACTCTAGCCTGGGCCACAAAGGAAACTCTGTCTCAAAAAAAAAAAAAAAAAGGTAGATGTCACAGGGAGAGCTCCCAAGCAAGGGGATCAACAGGTGCAAGGGCCCTGAGTTGCAACCAGCCTGGCATGTTTGATGTATAGAAGTAATGCTAGTCTGGGGGAAGCCAGGCAGAGGCAAGACTGCAAAAAACCTTGCAGGAAAAGGTAACAAGTCTGAGTTTTATTCCACTTGCAATGGAAAGCCTTTGGAAGCTTCAGAGCAGGGAAGAGGCATCACGTATGCTTTCAGATGATCACCCTTGCTGCTGTGTAAGTGGGAGAGGCAGAGAAATCAATTAGCAGGCTATTGGAGACGATGCTGGCTTGAATTGACACCATACAACGCAGATATAGCACATTTTTCATAGAATGCTATGGCATATTGGAGCCATGTACGCAGGGCTACTTGAGGGATTCCATGCAGGGGTGTGGGAGTGATAGAAATGAGAAAAAATAAGGCTATTTCCCAGGTTGTGGTGTGAGCAAATGGTGTGTTGGTACCATTTATTGAGATGGGAAAGGCTTGGGAAGAGGCAAATTTGGGTCAAGAGTTCTGTTTTGATAGTGTTAAATCTGAGATGTGCATGAAATGTCCAAGTGGAGATGTCAAGCCATGAGTTGGGTATATAAGAATGTGGCCTTGGCCGGGTGTGGTGGTTCACACCTATAATCCTAGCACTCTGGGAGACTGAGGCAGGAGGATCGCTTGAGCTCAAGACCAGCCGGAGCAAGAGCAAGACCCCATCTCTACTAAAAATAGAAAAAATTAGCCAGGCGTGGTGGTGTGCACCTGTAGTCCCAGCTACTTGGGAGGCTGAGGCAGGAGAATTGCTTGAGCCCAGGAGTTTGAGGTTGCTGTGAGCTAGGCTGATGCCACGGCACTCTAGCCTAGGTGACAGAGTGAGACTCTGTCTCAAAAAAAAAAAAAAAAAAAAAAAAGAATGTGGCCCAAAGATGCAAATTTGAGAGTCATCAGCCTAAAGATGTACTTTAAGGATAAGTATGAAAACAATGTTAGAGATAATTGCTTGAGGAAAAGGAAAGTTACACATTTTTAAGTGCAATTAAACAAATTTTAAAAACCTAGCGTCATTCATCTTAAAGGCCCTTAAAATGTCCCTGCAAGCCCCCTTCAGAATCTTAAAGTGTGAACTCTTGCTCTTGGCCTTCTAATTAATCCTGCCTGAAAGTCTCAAGGGCCATTCACAACAAGCAAAAAGCCTTTTATCATCATTTATAAAAAAGGATCCAAAAGAGCTGCTTCTTTTGCTGTATTTGCATCACATCAGTGCTGCTTCTGAGGTTTTTTTTTTTTTTTAAATCCCAATTGTGCAATATGTAGGCCACCCTATAGTTTAAATAGGCATTTCCAAATTTGCCTTGGGGAAGTAACCAATTGATGCCTGTCTCCATGGGAAAGCAAGCTCTGAGCTATACACTTTTGGAACACAACCTGCTGCTATCAAGTTAGTAATTGCCACCGCATGGTTTCAGTCAGACCCAGCCCCTAACTCCACGGAACTATTATGTAATAATAAAAATAGTAATGTTAGATAGCATTTATTGAGCATTGCAATGATCTGAATGTGTCCTCCCAAATTCATACTGTTTCCCTGAAAATAAGACCTCCCCATAAAATAAGCCCTAGCAGGATTTCTAAGCATTTGCACAATAGAAGCCCTGCCCCGAAAATAAGCCCTAGTGATGGGCGTGGCTACGCAGCGCATCTGCACAACCCATGCATTTTGTCTCGGAGCGGTAAAGAAGACGAGCAGCCCTTCTCATCTGCCCCATGAGAGCCCTGTTGCTCGACATGAGAGATTGGGGCCAATGGTTCTAAAGGAAATAGAGTCGCAAGAAATTCAGGATGGAATTCGGGGTTTGGAGAGTTATGATAATGTTCCAGAAGAAGACGACTTAACTATATTTGAATAAATGTAGATTGTTGAACCATTTGTTATTTAAAAAAAAAAAATAACAAATCCCCTGAAAATAAGGCCTAGGGTGTCTTCTTGAGGAAAAATAAATATAAGACCCTGTCTTATTTTTGGGGAAACACGATATGTTGAAATTCTAACCACCAAGGTGATGGTTTTAGGAGGTGGGGCCTTTGGGAGGAGATTAGATCATGAGGGTTGCATCCTTGTAAAAGAGCCCTCAGGGCACAAGGAAGTTATGTCTGTGGACCAGAAAGTGGACTCTCTCCAGACACCAAATCTACTAGGTCCTTGATTTGGGACTTTCCCAGCCTCTAGAACCAGGAGAAATAAATTCCTGTTCTTGTTTTGTTTTCTTTTGTTTTTTGAGACAGTCTCACTCTGTCCCCCTGGGTAGAATGCGGTGGCATCATCATAGCTCACTGCAACCTCAAACTCCTGGGCTCAAGCAGTCCTCCTGCCTTGACCTCCCAAAGAGTGCTAGGATTACAGGCACGAGCCACCACGCCCCCGCCAATTTCCTAGTGTTTAAAACTCACCAGTTTATGAGATTCTGTTATAGCAGCTTCCGGCTTATAATGGGTACTCAAATATTTATTGAAGGACTGAAGTAGAGTCACAGATATGACCCCACAAAACACATAACTGTCATCACTTGACTGGCTCCACGTGGACTATGGCCTCGGGAGTATTTTGTGTGGTTTCCAAATTCTGCAAAGGGAAAAAAAAAGTTGTATTAGTTCTCAACATTTATAAACTGGGAAATTGCAATGAAAATACAAATGTTTAAAATTTTCACTTTTCTTGAAATCTGGCAACACAAGTTAACATATTCCCACAAGTTAACAAGCAGGGAGGGTTGAGTAGGGGCTACTTTAGCCCCATATCTGCTACTACATCATCTCCTGTAGACATTTGATCTTGCACCTTCCAACTATAAAATTCCCTTATTTTAGAAGTGAGAAGACAGGGACCCAGCATAGCAAAGTGACGTCCTCCAAGGGATTCAGGTGCAGCCTCTTTCCACTGCCCAGGGTCCAGAGGTGTCCTGACAATCCGTATTTGTCGTGTCTACCCACAAACACACATGGATGAAAATGAGTGTGGGCATAAAGACTGAACAGAAATGTACGGGCCACGTACCATTATCAAGCAAAGGAAAAAGACTAAACGTATGTATTGGATCGATACAAAAAGGATCCTGTCAGTTCAAAAATTCCAAGGCAACACAATTTCTACCACCCTTGGTCACAAGTTTGGACCATTGCAATCCCAGGATCTTTCTACTTGTTTAAGGAAATAACTAAGTCCAGGTTCATGTCTATTTCAATTGTGAGTCAGCCTTGGTTTCACTTTCTAAATCGTTTGGTTATGATCTGATAAGATGTTGAGAGATGAGTAAAAAGAAAAAAATCAGAGGGTAGGGTGGAGTGAGTAAAAAATAGCTGGTTTAGGGGGGGCCTCCGGGGAGTAACCATGTAGTAATTAGGGACACCGGAGGACAGAACAGGTCCAAATGTTAATTAAAGTGTCTCCTCCTCCTTTACTCTCTAGGGCCCCCTGGAACTTAATCACTCTCCCCTGGCCATTCTCCCCTCCCCCAGGCAGATCGTCCTTCGATGGGGGCAGGAAGGATGCCAATGTCCCCGGAGAACCAGACAAACAAAAGCAACGACGCCAGGACCCGTTCAGTAAATCATTGATCTGGAAGTCCGAAAGTCTCAGACACACCTCTCTGATTCAGTGTTGTATACGCAGGCCAGGGCTTCTCCCGTTCTAACGCGCTGAGGAGGGTCACTCAGGGATTCTGTCAAAGTGCAGACTCCGACGACCCAGCAGGTGTGGGGGCAGGGCCTGAGGCTGGGCATTTGTACGCAGCACCCCGGGACGTGCTCCGGTCGACAGCCCTGGGGTGGGCCACTGCTTCCCAAACTTGCCTGCCCATTTGAATCACCGGAGAGCGGGTGGGGGGTGGGGGGTGATGTTAAGCACTATTGATGGCTGGCTGGGTCACATCACCAAATTCTGATTTGATTCGTGTGGGTGAAACCTGAGCATTAGGAGCTTTTTTTGTTTGTTTTTCAAAGCTTCCAAGGAGATTCTAGAATGAAGTAGAGGTTGACACATACTGCCTTAGACTAGAGCAGCAGCTCTCGGACTTGAGGGTACACAAGGTGACCTGGAGACTCTGTTTAAAAAAAGACTGCAGGGCCCCACCCTCCTGAGTTCCGGATTCCACCGGTCTGGGCGTGGCCTGAGAATTTGCATTTCTAGGAAAGCGTTGCTGAATCTGCTAGTCTTGGTGGTGGTGGGGGGGATCACACTTTGAGAGGCACTTCCTGTGGGCTGCGGAAGAGGTGAGGGGCCCTGCAGACGACAGCTGTGTCACCGAGGGGAGGCCACTCACCTCCACTTAAGCGAGTGTAAGTCGCCAGCGCCCAGGAGTTCTGTTGGCTCTCCTTCTCTTGCCACCTGGGGAGGACTGTCCACCAGCTGCAGCCGGCCCGTGGAGCCCTCCCTGCTCGTGCCACAGGACTCGCCAGCTCTTCCATCTCTCCTCTCGCTGTGTGCAACCCCCTTTGCCTGGTTCAGCACCACTGTGGCCCTCCGGAGCAGAGGGCGGTGGGCTTGTCCCCAGCGGGTGGTGCTGTTGGAGAAGATAAACTCCTACACCCAGGCACTCGGGACATCTCCCACCAAGTCTGGATGGTGGTAGAACATCCACCTTTGCTCCAATAAAATCCCATGATTCCATTCCAGAACGTGCTTGCTTAGTCTTTTTTTTTTTTTTTTTTTGAGACAGAGTCCACTTTGTTGCGAGGCTGAGTGAGTGCTGTGGCGTCAGCCTAGCTCACAGCAACCTCAAACTCCTGGGCTCAAGCAATCCTCCTGCCTCAGCCTCCCAAGTACCTGGGACTACAGGCATGCGCCACCATCCCCGGCTCATTTTTTCTATATATATTAGTTGGCCAATTAATTTCTTTCTATTTACAGTAGAGACGGGGTCTCGCTCTTGCTCAGGCTGGTTTTGAACTCCTGACCTCCAGCAATCCACCCGCCTCTGCCTCCCAGAGTGCTAGGATTACAGGCGTGAGCCACCTCGCCCGGCCTTTTTTTTTTTTTTTTGGAGACAGAGTCTCACTTTGTTGCCCAGGCTAGAGTGAGTGCTGTGGCGTCGGCCTAGCTCACAGCAACCTCAAACTCCTGGGCTCAAGCGATCCTCTTGCCTCAGCCTCCTGGGTAGCTGAAACTACAGGCATGTGCCACAATGCCCGGCTGATTTTTTTCTATTTTTAGTTGTTTGACTAATTTCTTTCTATTTATAGTAGACATGGGTCTTGCTCTTGCTCAGGCTAGGCTTGAACTCCTGAGCTCAAGCAATCCTCCTGCCTCGGCTTCCCAGAGTGCTAGGATCACAGGCGTGAGCCACCGCGCCTGGCCTAAGAATTCTTTTATGGGGACCAGATGGAAGAATGTTCAATGTAGGGACTGCCCCTGATAAGACCAGGCTATTTTCTGAATCAGTACAGTGTCTCTTCCAGCTATTTATTTATTTACTATATGCACTCAGGCTGGAGTGCAGTGGTGTGAGCACAGCTCGCTGTAACCTCCAATCTGCCTCAACCTCATGAGTAGCTGGGACTATAGGCACACACTGCCACACCTTGCTAATATTTAAAAAAATTTTTTGTAGATCCAGTGTCTGTCTATGTTGCTCCAAGCTGGTCTTGAACTCTTGCCCTCAAGCAATCCTCCCACCTTAGCCTCCCAAAGTGCTGGGATTGCAGGTGTGAGCCACTGTGCTCAGCTTTCAAGCTTTTACTTCATGCTTTACATTCAAAAAAGAAGAAAAAAAAAGCATGCTGTATATTTACCATTAGGCTTGAAGATGAAGCAGAGATGAGTCCCAGTAGATCTTTTTAAATATCCATATTTTGGCCAGGCACAGTGGCTCACGCCTGTAATCCTAGCACTCTGGGAGGCTGAGGCCGGAGGATCCTGGAGGTCAGCAGTTCGAAACCAGCCTGAGCAAGAGCGAGACCCCATCTCTACTAAAAACAGAAGGAAATTAATTGGCCAACCAAATATATACAGAAAACGTTAGCTGGGCATGGTGGCACATGCCTATAGTCCCAGCTACTCAGGAGGCTGAGGCAGAAGGATTGCTTGAGCCCAGGAGTTTGAGGTTGCTGTGAGCTAGGCTGACATCATGGCACTTTAGCCCGGGCAACAGAGTGAGACTCTGTCTCAAAATAATAAATAAATAAATAAATATCCATTTTTATTTTCCTCCAAGAAACTTCTGTTACTTATCTATTTAATTTTTTTCAAGGGCATTTTCATAAGCGGTAGCCTGAGTTAGATAGTATTTTTATTTATTTATTAAGTATTTTAAACCTAGTCAAGTGAAGTAGTGGGAAGGTAGTACCTTTAATTTTGAATAGCCCTAGGCCAGCTCTGTGGCTTAAGCCTGTAATCCTAGCACTCTGGGAAGCCAACGTAGGAGGATTGCTTCAGGTCAGGAGTTTGAGACCAGCCTGAGCAAGAGTGAGACCCTGTCTCTACTAAAAATCAAAAAATTTTTAAAATCTGTACCCCCATAATACGCCGAAATACCAAAAAAAAAATCAAAAATTAGCTGGGCATGGTAGCACATGCCTATAGTCCCAGCTACTTGGGAGGCTGAGGCAGGAGGATCGCTAGTGCTCAGGAGTTTGAGGTTGCTGTGAGCTATGATGATGCCAGACCACTCTACTCTGGCAACAGAGTATAAGACCCTGTCTCAAGGGGCAGGGGAGGCGTGGGGAGGATGGCAGGGACAATATATGTAAGCTAACAATATTTGTACCCCATAATATGAAAAAAATAAATAAAAAAAAAAAGAAGAAATCCTAACCCGAGGTGATGTCTGAGGAGGTCAGGTCTTTGGGAGGTGATTAGGTCATGAGGGAAGAACCCTCATGGATGGGATTAGTGCCTTATAACACAAGCCCAAAGGAGATTGTTCCTCCACCAACAGTGTGGAGGACACAGCTAGAGGAGGACATCCATGACCACAGCCTGAGCCCTCATCAGATACCAGATCTTCGCAGCACTTGATCTTGACTTCCGAATCTCCAGAACTGCGAAAAATAAATTTCTATCTATATATATATAGTTACTATATATAAACCCTGTCTCAAAAAGAAAAGAAAAAAAATCTTGGAATAGCCTAGGAATATGGAAGTCAACTGTCATTTGTTAAGCACCTACTATGTGCCAGGCAAGCTCTTTGTGGTCATCAGCTCATGTTTGCAGTAGAAAGCTCTGCTATCATTGGGATTATGACTATCTGGAATGTTCCTAAAGTTTTGCAAGAATATTTTTTTTTTTTTTGAGGACAGAGTCTCACTTTGTTGCCCAGGCTAGAGTGAGTGCCTGGCGTCAGCCTAGCTCACAGCACTCAACTCCTGGCTCAAGCAATCCTGCTGCCTCGCCTCCCGGAAGTAGCTGGGACTACAGGCATGCACCACCATGCGGCTATTTTTTTTATATATAATATTAGTTGCCAATTAATTTCTTTGTATTTATAGTAGAGACGGGTCTCGCTTTGCTCAGGCTGGTTTCGACTCCTGAGCTCAAATGATCCACCGCCCTCGGCCTCCCAGAGAGCTAGGATTACAGGCGTGAGCCACCGCACGCGCCTTGCCAAGAATATTTTTTAAAGCAAA